TTCAAATGTGCGTACCACACGACAATTGTTTGCTGTGGACGGTCAGCTAGGACCAAACAGCAGTCTATCTTTTCTGCGAGACGAAGCCACTGCATAGCTGCTGGTTGTACAACGAAACTCGCTCCAACACGTCTTGCAAAACGTTTTCTGCTCTGTTGGTGGGCATGTCGGTGTCTTGGCAGGCGTACAGTGACACATCTATGCGAGTGCAACCTCGTTGTTGTACATCTGGGTGGAGAAAGGTTTTGTGGAGGTGCTCGTTTGGACAATCTACGTTGTCGGCAAGATGGCTGCCAATTGGTTCTCGGACTTTGTTGTACATCTTGGTGCGCATCATTTTGCCAGACTTTGTTGTCTCTACCCACGTGAAAACATGGTTGCCGACCGAGTGAGTGTTGTCCAGGATGGTGGGTTTTCCGCTTTCGATAGCTTCCACGAGATCTTGTTCTTGTTCGACAAATCCATGTTGGCAACAGAGGAATTGCACGAAGCTGTTTGCGGTCTAGGACGCCAGAATAGTCTTGGGTGTAGTCGATGCTGTAGATCCCTAGTCCGTGGCCACGAAGACTGCAAAAGGGGGCTTCGTCGTCGGTTTGGGCTTTCCATGCTCGTAGCGATTTCTGCTGGGTTTCGCTTTTGATCTTTTGGATCGTGCTGGCAATAGCTTCTGCACTCGTCTTTTGCACCATGTGGAGAAGTGTCACATACATTTTGGTTGCTTCGGTATACTCTTTGTAGGTGGTGCGTAGTATCCAGTGGAGTAGTCCAACAATTTTTTTTCGCGTGGCCGTGCTCTCCCATCATACACTGGATGCTTCCCTTGTGCTGCATGATGTCTTTGCGAGATAGATGGCCAAACACGTAGAGGTCGTCGACAAAGGCTGGAAGATCGGAGAGTGGTTGCAGGTGTTTCCCCGAGATAGTCTACCGTCGAGATATCGGACACGAGGTTGTTGTGCCGTGCATGTTTTCCAGTAGGAGCTGGTGTGCAATCGATTTACTGCACGAATGCCCATTTCTTGGAAAGTTGCAGTGATTTGCTTTGCCATAGTTTTTGTTGTCGGAGTGTATCCTGTATATTGTAGCAACTCTATATGTCTAATTGGAAGTTCGAGCAACCTTGGTGTCAGGTCGAAAAAATGGATTGCCCTAGTGAAAATGAGATTCTTATAAGGGTACTATCATGCACAGAATAATCTCCGCTCCGGAAAACATACCCAGGATCAATGTACATGTATTCCTAGTCGAAAAAAATAATCAATTTCACTATACGTGGATTAAAAGTTTGAGCACACAATTCAACGATCAATCAAACCATAAAGAAAAGAAACACTTCTGCAAACGATGCCTGCATGGTTACAGTAGACTAGATCTTCTTGAATCGCATAAGGAAGACTGTAGAGGTGTGGTACAGACCACTGTTAGGATCGCCATGCCCAAAGAAAATAAACATATTCTCCAATTTAACCATTATAACAAACAAATGTCTGTGCCCTACATGATTTTACGCCGACTTCGAAGCCCTCATCAAACAGGTCGAACATACCATGCCCGACACGACCGAACAAAGTTTCACGTACAAAACGCAGGAACACGAAGCTTGTGGGTTCAGATATGTGGTCGTTCGATACAATGGACAAACGAACGCTCCCGTGATCTACTGAGGACATGACGCGGATGAACGATTTCTCACTTGCCTACAACACGAAGTAAAAGCAATCAGGGACACTTTATCTAAAATCGTGCCCATGTGTATGATGAAGGATGACTGTAGAACTCACAAAACATCGACTCATTTGTACGGTTGGGCTATGAGTCAACCTTTGCCTACGGGCTGAGTTCGAATGGATTGATAGCGACCATTTTAAAACGAAGAACAGAAGAACATTATGGCTATCCCCGAAAACTTTGAGACGGGATACGTATTTGAAATGGACTTGGAATATCCCGCGGAACTCCACGCTGCCCACAACAGTTATCCGCTGGCCCCTGAACAGTTGATGGTCGATCGAGAATGGATGTCGGACTATCAGCAAGAATTGTTGGGAATGACTAAACAAGCTCAGGTGGAAAAACTCTTACCCAGCTTGATGGATAAGACCAAGTACATCGTGCATTATAGAAATCTACAGCTGTAACTGTCGTTGGGGATAAAGCTGAAAAAAAATACACCGAGTTCTAAAATTTGATCAAGGCCCTGGATGGAGCCTTACATTTGATTGAATACTGATCTGAGGAAAAAAGCAACCACTGATTTTGAGAAAAACCTGTATAAGCTCATGAATAACTCTGATTTTGGAAAAAACATGGAAAATTTAAGGAAACATGTCAATGTGAAATTAGTCAGATCCAATGAAGAAGAAAAACTGAGAAAATTAATAGTGAGCCCCGGCCTTTAATCGAAGCAAGCTATTTGATAATGACTTGGCGGCTCTACATATGAACAAAAGTCACATCACATTAAATCAACCAGTCTATGTCAGGATGTGTATTCTCGACCTATCCAAACATTTTTCTACTACAACAAGTTAAAAAGTCAATATGGTAATCGGTAATAGGTGTTGCTCTTAAAAATTCGTACCGAGGACGTGTACGAGGCATGGCAGAAAACATAGATTTGTACGATACAAGCGATTATCAACCAGATCACGCTTTACACAGTACGACCAATAAAAAGGTCCTAGGAAAAATGAAGGACGAATGCGCAGATATACCCATTATGTAATACGTCGGATTCAGAACTAAAATGTATTCCATCTTGAAAGCCGACAACGGTGAGATCCGAAAGGCTAAGGGTGTGAAAAAATACGTGGTTCAACAGCACATCAAGCACACCCTCTTCAAACAGGCTCTCTTCGATAAACGCACGTTCAAACACCAAATGAATGTGCTCAGAAGTGACAAACACAAAATCTATGGAATCACCCTGAATAAAACATCCTCGTCACCCATGGATATGAAACGATGGAGTGCTCATAATGGTGTCATGACTAACGCGTACGGGCACAGTTGTATTGAATGGAAAATATCGTGAACTACATAAATCATGAAGAAGATTTACTACAGCCCTCGGGGATACTGAAAAGGCACGGGTGCTACCCAGAGCTCACGATCGACGGAATGGGTGACCCGTTTACCTCGAGTTGTGTCGGCGATCAACAACAAAGTGACGCGACTCATCGACCAAAAAAACACCAAGGCCATTAAAATGAAATCCGTGACGGCTGAATCAGCCGCACCACCATCCAAGGGTAAAAAAACGAGAAAAAACTATCGGGTCGGATCAGCGTGAGGTATTTGTATCAGCCCGGTGAACTCGAGGGAAGGGATCGACGTCATGCTACTGACCCTATATGGTCTGATGATTCGTATATTTATATTTATCATCATGTGGAGATTGATCGAGAAACGGTTGTTCAGTTGCATCGGGGTGGACGTCAGTGGACTCGATATTTACTCAGCCCTACGTCGAGTGATTAGTCAAGGGCAATTCACGACCCTGTACGATAGTTCAGGTCTTTTGGGTACCGAATGATTACAATGTCTCATGGATACTTTAGTCGATTATAGCCTAAAGACCAAAGACTGCACCGCCCCATACTCAACCTACTCCTTGGCCGACTTTGATGAGTTTATGGCAGACCCCAACCAGCACTTCGTCGCTCAATATTACGGCTACATTTGAAAAAAAGAGAAAAAAAAGGCACATCCAACCATGGTCCACCATCAAACACACCATTTCATCACATCGATGGGGGATGATTCAGACACATATAACCCAATAGAACACCAACTGCGGCAGGAGCCCCATCCTAATACTACTCTATGAGTTTATTATTGTTGTTACAGACAAGAATTTATAAATGACTTCTATCTACTCATGTAAACTCTAAATGTACTACAGGCCTGTGGCCTTCTTAAGTACTGAAATAAAGATTGATTGATTGACAGTACGGGGTGGTGTCAGCTCCTGAAGAGTTCACCACTTACTGAATATACTTTGCAAGAGTGAGTTCTTGCCCATGGTTTAAATAACGAGTTCACCACTTGCTAATTTTCTTTGCAAAAGGACTGCTTATTTGTGAACACTTTTCACAGAGAGTATAAAGAAAGGAATGATATATTTACCAAACCATTCTCAATCATGGCTCAGGTACATCTTAAGTTCATTCCGTCCCACTGTGGAGGAAGAATATTAGTTCATCAAGGATTTATGTTTAAAAGCAATGAGAGGAGACATTACTGGCAGTCCTTGAAAAATGTATGAAAAGTGCTTGTGAATGATAAAGTGTATATATGAATGAACGAACAAATGTATAAAAATGAACATGTTTGTGTTATGACTGGAAATAAACGAATCATCTTGCCAGGCATAAATAACTTTTGTCAAACAATTTTTTGACATGTTCCCCAGGTTTAATCCCCCACTTCCATTGTTTCGCTAATCCTTTTAAATCGACAAGTGTAAAATGACCCTTGTCAGCTTGTATAACACTGTTTTGCTGGAACTGCTGGACAAACATGCTCCCGAGAAAGAGCTCATTCCCAACAGACCCGACTCTACCTGGATGTTTACTTCTGAAGTAGTCAGGCTAAGGCGGAGAGATGGCAAGCAGAGAGGAAATGGCAGAAGAGTCAGCTAGAGATTGATCATCAGTTATTTTACATGGCCAGGAACAAGGTCAATCTGATGGAAAATCAGAGTTCATGAACAGTAAAATCAGAAATAGATTGAGATGCAAACGCCCTGTACAAGGTTATGTTCTCCCCAATGGGAAAGCAAATTCACTCAAAACTACCAAGTTTTGGAACCGCAACTGAAATAGCAAATGCATTTGCACAATTCTGTGAGAACAAAATCAGTTCAATCTGACAACATTTCAACACGGACCAAGTTCCTAAGGTTGAAGACACATTTCCTCTCCACCTTTACAATCTTGGTGAGCTCAAGGAGTTTCTCAAGAGGAGATAATGAAAGTGATTCAGAAGTCCATGCCCACCTCAGGTCTTCTGGATCCCATTCCCACTCGGCTCATTCTTGGCAATGTGACAATTCTTCTGCCTGAAATTGTGAACATAGTGAATTGCAGTGTCAGGTCTGGAACAATGCCATCACCTTTCAAACAAGCCACTGTCAAACCTATGTTAAAAAAATCCTTCTTAGATAGTGAAGCATTTAAGAATGTCAGACCAGTGTCCAATCTACCTTTTCTATCAAAATTGATTGAAAGCACTTCACTCCAAACCATTTTGGAAACTAAAGTTCCCACTTTTCCTGACCTTTAGCTTCAATATCCGAAGATATAAAGGAAAAATAAACATGTTTAGAGCCTTTCCAAACACTACATATTTTTTCAACAACACAAAGGATTTTTTTCCACTGAACTGTTTGAGAGTGTATGTACTTCAAGAGTGTTTGAATACTTTTTAACACTATTGACAATTCCATAAAATTCTTAAAAAGGAAGAATGAACACCATACATTTACGTTACAACTCAGGAACTAAAACTTCGCTGGTTTCAGTATAGAATAATTAATCAAATATTAACTACTAACACTTTTTTGTTTAAACTTAAACATGTTCGTTTGGTTATTATCATTATTATAGGATATTTATATAGCGCACATATCCAGGCAACAAGTGCATAATCAATGTGCTGGTATATTTTTCCTCGATCACTGGATGCCAATCTCAACGGCACATCGCATTATCAATCTCAACTCCCTGGGGAGAATACAACTCTTGCAGCCACTAGGCACACCGAGTTATTGTGGCTTTCTCATCCTAACAAGGTACCCATTCACAGCTTGGTGGACTGGGACGCATAGTCACAGTACCTTGTCCATGTTCACTGCATGTTGCTGTACCCGCAACTAGGTGTTTGCACGTATTCATGTGGTCACCATCTGGTCATATACCAACAGATTCATGGGTTGTGCACTGTACACTAGGGTTGTGACAACACTGAAAGAGTCTGCACACAAAGTTGACTCCAAGGTTTTTACACCCAGTCACAGGTGGGCTCGACCCCGACACCTCAACCTCGCTGGATCACTAGCCTGGCCTTTGATCTTTGCCAGCTCAGTGGTTAGGCAAATGTGATCATCATGTTTACAACATGACGCACCTTGTCTTGTTCTTTGATCTTTGTGTTTTTCATATCTTCCTACAATGCATAAAGGGAAACAATTAAATGGGAATGTGATGTTATGAAGAATTTTTAATGAGTTACTCCAGTGGTTAGTTACACACAAGCAATGGCTGTGATCATCATGTTTACAACATGACTATCCACAGAGCTTGTCTTGTTCACTTTTGAAACAACGTAAAGGAAAATGTGGTTACTGACAAGATATTTGACTTTCTATTGCTCATTGCAAAGTTTTTTCTTTATAGGTGCAAATTCATTAATGTAAAACCACTTTTTACTCTTATTATAAAAAAAGCTTCAAAAAGATACATACTCAAAAGGGAAAAATTATTAAAAAATAGTAATCAACTCAAGTTTTATAAAAGTTGGATGCTTTATCACTAACCTTTTGAGAGCCAAGCAGCCTAGTGTTAATGAATTCCTTAAATTACTAATGTATTTGATTATTTTTTTTGCAAGGGATCAGTCAACAGAATGTTTTTCTAAAATAAATAGATTATTGAAAACTATGAACAATATTTAGTCATGCATTAGTGGATGTCTGTGTGTGTTTTTATAATTCTTTAAAAAAACATCCAGATCAATGTAAGGTGACATGCTTTTTGGGGTCCGTTGGTAACCTAGGGCCGGACCTCTAAATGTAAAGGTTTTTATCTGGAATAAAAATATGGAGAAAAAAAAGAAATAAATTGATTGAAACAGCAGTGTGTCTGAGACTCTCTGAACATTTGGAAATTCACCACTTAGATGACCTCTTTCAATCTGGGTATCACAAACATCACAGCACTGAAACAGCCCTCCTCGGGGTGTTGAATGACCTCAGACTTGAAGTTGATGAGGGGAATCTAGCATTGCTCGTCTTGCTGGACCTTAGCCCAGCGATTGATATGACAGACCATAATGATTTCCCACCTCAATGTGGACTTTGGAATCCAGTTAATGGCGTTGAGTTGGTTTAAGTCCTACCTCAAGGACCAGTCAGTGCTTGTAGATGGCTGTCTATCAGAACATGTCCTACTTACAAGCGGTGTGCCACAAGGGTCAGTCCTTGAGCTGATCCTTTTCACGCTATATACAAGACAGCTTGGTAAACTCATTGACAGACACTGGATTAGACGTCACCACTATGCCGACGACACAACAGCTGAAACAATGTCTCCCCAAGCCGGCAGAGGCTGCTGAAGTTCTGGAACAAACATCCCTCTATTCTCAGGACATTAAGTCCTGGACGTTGAGCAACAAACTCAGACTCAATGATGGCAAGACAAAATGCCTTATAGTTGGACCCAAGTCGAGGCGGTCCAATTGCATACCTATTGGGAGTTGTGTCATTCAGACAGCAGAGGTAGTTAAAGGTCTAGGTATCCATCTTGATTCTGAGTCATCTTTGGAGAACCATGCTCAGCGCCTTGAGCATGCACTAGTTGCCTGGATATGTGCGCTATATAAATAAACCTACAATAATAATAATATAATAACTAGGATTGCCTCCTGGGCAATACTGACGGTCTTCAGGCTTCCCCATACACTCCCGTGGCTACCTTTACTTGTACTGTTTCTTTGGACGCCAGCTGGAGCGCCCATTAGTGTTTTTGAGATTAATTTGGCATTGATTCAATGCTGCTGACACAAACGGAAAATTCACAAACTGCAGAAAAACAAACAGGAAGACACAGTCAAACAAAGCAAAATAATACAGCAATATCTACAGACATATACTAAAAGAGATTACCGGTAAATATTGTAGATTTTGTTGTCAAAAGTCAAGCGTATTCCTGTCACAGTCAGGCTGGTAAGCAAACTGCTGGAGAGATCACACCCTGGCAATTCCAGAACACTAATTGTTTTGGCTGTAGACCTAAGAACAACGGCGTTACGGCCTGTTAAAGAGGGAACTATTTCTGTGGGCACTAGAAAACCAGGAAGCAGTGATAGTTGCTAGATTTTACGACGCTTCCTCCAGCTATCTCACAACTGTCACAACTGACAAAATGCGAAATCCTAATGTCCCTACCTGTTTGTGCCGTGATTGTGATGTAACTATTGACTTTTACATAATAATAATGTGAAGCAAAAATGTTTCACATTTCATTATCTATAGTTTGGTACCTTGAAAACTGAAATCCATTGTGTTTTTGCAGAGCTGTGAACCCTATAAAAAAGCGTTTTGCCAAAATTGACCAACTTTCCAAGGGCAATACCTCCGACACTATTCAAGATATCGACATGCCTTGAACACACTAAGTAGTCCGGAGTGTGGGCTTTAAAACGATATATAGAACACTATTGTCATATTTGCCGTTCAGGAGCAGAAGATTGTTAAATACAGGCACCGTCTAAAAGGTGCGGAAATGTGACAAATCGCGAAGGTTGTGTTTGTGTCGTAATGGTGACGTAATTATGGATTTTTACATAACCATGATGTAAAGCAAAAATGTTTCCCATTCAATTACCTACAGGTTGGTACTTAGGAAAATGGAATCCATTGATTTTTTGCAGAGTTGTGACCTTTTTTTTAACCCTATGAAAATGCGTCTTAGAAAAATTGACCAAATTCCAAGGGTGATAACTCTTAAACTATTCAAGATATCGATATGCCTTGAAGGCTTTAAGTAGTCCGGGCTTTAAAATCATATATCGAACACGATTGTACTATTTGCCGTTCTTGAGAAGAAGATTTTCAAACACAGGCACCGTCAAAAAGGGGAAATCGGCAAAAAATCGTTTTTTTCAAAATAGCGCAAAATTTGACCTGCCGGCCAACTTCAGGTATGTGTTGTATCGATGGGGAATGGTGTTGTCTACATTGAGTGAAAATTTGGTCAATTGATCTCTTATAGTTTTTGAGATATTGAAGTGTAAAGATTTTGACATTTTGGGTTGTCTGCCCTTACCGGAAGCCTGGATTTTTTCGACTATGTATCAATTTCAGCACACAGGCTATCATCCCTGAAAGTTTCATGAAAATCGACCAAGTAGTTAGTTCAGGAGAGCTGTCACAAAATTTGTACAAATAAGAAGAAGAAGAAGAATATTCGGATAATAATAGTATGTCTTCCAGACTTTCTTCTGAAGACCTAATAATAACCACATCAGCAACTTGAGCAGAAGCTGCTTAAATTCCTCAAGCTTAGAAATATTGGAAATATAAGGGGGGATACAAAATGCATCAGGAATTGTGACTCTCACGCGAAAACATGACATCACCAGTGTATGAAATAAGGCTCGTCTGACTACCAGAGTCAGGCTAGATTTTTGACGGATGGTCTAAGTTCACAGCTAGCCAGCCCGATGGTCTGGTAAAAATTTAAGATAAGATAAGATAAGGTAATATAAGATAAACTTTAATGTCCCGCAAGGGAAATTTGTTTTGCATTCAAAGAGCCAATACAAGCATATAACAACAAATCATTTAAAGTATATATACACAATGCCAAGCTAATCAGAATATAAAGTTGAATTATAACATAATCAAAGTTCATGATATAATAATCACTCGTGCCTCATCATAGATTTCACTATTACAATTTTGAAGGAAGATTTAGAAGTTTTATGCTGTATGGGACAAATGATTTTGAAGTTCTATTAGTTTTGTAATACATGATTTTGAAACGACAGCCAGAAGGCAGAAGTTCATAACATTCATTTAAAAAGTGTGATGGATCCAACTGAAAGGCCAGAGCTTTCTTCTTAACTTTTGACTCATACTGAAAAGGTAGAGGTTCGAAATTGAAGCCGCAGATTTTGCTTGATATGTTTACAATTTTGTCAAGATTATTTTTCTGTGTAAGAGGAAGATTGCCATACCAGGCATGAAAGCAGAAAGTTAAAATACTATTAATGAATGTTTGGTAAAATAATTTTAAGATATTAGTGTCTACATTAAATGATCGCAATTTTCGGAGAAAGAAAGCCTCTGTTGTGCTTTCCTATGTACACGATGTGAATTTGATTTCCATGAAAGTTTATTATCAATGATAGTACCCAGATATTTATACTCTTCTACTGTTTCTACTTCCTGTCCATCAATACAAACAGGTTTCAGTTTGTTTTTTCTGCTTCGGAAGTCAATTATCATTTCCTTTGGGTTTTTTATGTTCAGGGAGAGGTAATTGTCTTTGCACCATGAAGTAAACGCATCAATATTTTTCCAGTACTCTAACTCCGATTGACGAATAAACCCAACCAAAGCGGCATCATCAGCAAATTTGAAATTCAAACAGGTGGATAAATGAGATATACAGTCATTTGTATAGAGTGTGAAGAAGACAGGGGACAGGACACAGCCTTGAGGAGCACCGGTACTCACAAGATTAACGTCAGAAAGCGTTGAATTGACCCGAAGATGTTGAGGTCGGTTAATTAAGAAGGCCTCTACCCACTTGATTATGTTACTATTTACTTTCATGTTGAATAATTTCCTTATCATCAAATGTGACTGGATTGTGTTGAAAGCAGAGAAGTCCACAAAGAGGATTCTTACATAAGATTTTCAATTCTCTAGATGAGTATAGATCTTATGTAACAGTGAAATGTGTGCATCTTCTACCCCACGCCTGGCCCTGTAAGCAAATTGTAAAGGATCCTTTTGATATCCAGTATTTTGCTTAATTAAGTTCAAGATAATTCTCTCAAAGCATTTCATGATTATTGGAGTAAGGGCCACTGAGCGGTAGTCATTAATTATTGACGGTTTTGACTTTTTGGGAACGAGGATTATATGCAAGGTTTTCCCTATTGTTGGTATATAATGGGTGTCGACAGACATCTGAAACATCACTCTGTATATCCCGCACAACTGTTCACAACATTCTTGTAGTGCAATGCCAGGTATTCTGTCGGGGCCGATTGATTTCCCAATATTAATCTTCCTAAATGTTAGCATCACATCAAGGTCGGTGATTACTAAATTATCATCTTCTGGTAGGCTTTGAATGAAGGCATTTCTTGTCTGAGAGAAGTTATGTACATCAAATCTTGAGTTGAATCTGATTGAGATCTCTCGCAAATAAGACATCATTTTGAGTGTTCAGGACTTTACATTTACTGTCGTTGCCAATCATGGTTTTAATTCAATTCCACGCTGCTTTCAAGTTATTACTTTGAAATTCCTTTTCTATTTTCTTTTTGTACTCAAGTTTACATTTTTTAGTCACACGTTTGATATCTCGTATTTCTTTCACTCGAGTTCTGTCCCCTGTGAAGAAAGCACTCTTCTTGTCATTGAGAAGTCCTTTCAATTCAATGCTAATCCAAGGTTTGTTGTTTGGGAAAAGTTTTATGGTTTTTGAAGGAACAATATCATCGATACAGAACTTGATATAATCTGCTACAATGTCGTTCAGCTCATCCAGATCAGTTGATGATTCGCGGAAGTTATACCACACTGTACAGTCAAAGCAACCTTTCAGTTGATTAATAGATTCTTTTGTCCAGATTTTAATAGATTTTACTGTTGGTTTTTGTGATTTGAGAGTTTGTTTATACTGGGGAACGAGATAAACAACGTTATTATCTGACTGACCAAGTGGTGGCTTCACATACGATTTATAGGCTTCTTTTATGTTACCATAGCACAGATCTAAGGTTTTATTTTTCGCGTCTCACAAGTGACATATTGGTGATAATGAGGCAGTGCTTTATTTAACACACAGCCGTTGAAGTCCCCAACAATCAGTTTTGGTGCATCAGGTGAAAGGGCATCGAGCTTACTGATGTGAGCAGACAGTATGTCCGCCACTTTGTTTGAATTTGCCTTCGGATGGGTATAGACAGTTGATATAAATATCTGACCAAATTCTCTTGGCAAATACTTGGGTCTCATCGATATGGATAAGAGTTCTTTATCCTCCGTGCATGCAGTGTCTCTTACAACATAATTACTGCACCATCTTTCATTGATATATATGCACACTCCGCCTCCGACTTTCTTACCAGTAATGCCGCTGTCCCTGTCCAGTCTGATATAGGACCGTTGAAGCCCTGGATCCGTAGCGCATCATTGGGGATTGTGTTGTTCAGCCATGTTTCAGTGAAACATAGTAAACATGACTCATGGTATTCATACAAATATTTGACACTTATTTCAAGTTCCGGCAGTTGTTGCCACAAGGATCGGACGTTGGAAAGCACTATTGTAGGTAGAGGAGGGGGAGTTTTCCTTACTCGTACACGTTGTCTCAAACCCCCCTTTTTACCTCTTTTCCGCTTTTTAGCATCATTCCTGGAACATTCCTTTGGTAAATCAAGTGGCGTACTGTAATCCGATGAGAAAGTGTTGAAATGCAAGAGCTGATCGCATTCATACCGTCGAGAGAGATGCTGAGGAACAGGATGTCCACCATCTTGAATAACGTCCAACGGACTTGTAGCGGTCGCGCAGTATAGCTGATGGAATAGGATGATTCCTGTTAACGTTACCGCTAACCCAGTGCTCATTGCTTTCTTCATTATGATGAATACAACATTTGTGCACTAATCTTCACAAGTTAAGAAATATAAACTCAATTTACAACAAAACTCAACAATAAATCACAGAGCTCTTTGAATACGTGTCGCCACGGCGCAGCGCCACCTAGGATTTTAACCTGTTCCATACATCTGAGTAAATTCACCATATCTTAAAATCTATTTTCAGATTTCTCTGAAAGTGACTGTTGTAAATAGTGTGTTAGACAGTGAATACAAGTATTCATTGTGACTAAAAATTGAACGTGTCTCCTACAAAGTCAGTGCCTTGCATAAAAATGCAATGCTGGTGATGCACCAGAGTATTCGTGTGAGCTACTGCAGCCTTACAGCCCACTGAGAACTCTCAGATCTCAAGCACAACATCTCCTCTGTGTCCTGAAAACTAACACTACAAGCTTTGAGCATCTCTCTTTCTCTCACTCGGCAGCGACAGAATGGAATCAACTTCCTATCGAAATAAGACTTGCTCCAACATTCAAATCGTTCTGTTTAAAAAGACTTTCCTTAACTAGACTTTTAATGTGCGTTTTGAGCGTGCAACGAGCGTGGAGTAAAGCTCAATATAAATGCACTATTATCAATATTATTGTCTAACTTCCGACAGACCAGGTAGAGTCGATGCTAAATTAAGACTTATATAGCTAGCAAGAGGAAATTATCACTATTGCCTTAACTATTTAATCATTAACAAACCAAAAAATATAAGCGAATATACTTTACCACAAGAAAACAGGCAACAAACTAAAATATCCTCCTTTTGGGCGCTGTAACAGCCATATCTTTGATGCGTTGCCATAGATGCAGCAAAGGGACGTAACTGTGAACTATTTAACGGTAAAAGCGACGCGCCTTCGTATGTTCATTACAGTATCCTGAACAAAATTAAAGAATTAAATTAAAATGTAAATGTATGAATATAAACAACTCAATGACAAAAATCGACTTACATATTTCAGGTGATGGTGCTGATGTTCGTTATATACAATGTGAAAACATTTTATGTCCGTTGCCTAAAGGGACACTGATCTAGAGCCCCGGCACTGGTTCTGCTTTTGTTATTGTTTTCGCCCCGAATGGTATCCCAGAATTCTTGACTGTTTTGTGATCTCTGCTGCGCCACCCGCACGCGCATCTGATACTAGTAGTATACGGGCGTATCCCCACATTGATCAACAAAGATGAAATACAGTTTCGCACTGGAATTAATTGGAAAATGTCGTCATCTTTTATACCCATTAATATTTCCATCTTCAATATCACGCAACAAATGAAAACATTTTGAAGTTCATCATTCTTAACAAATGTTAGGATTGAAAGAAAACGAAGTCAATGTAGATCTAGATTCTACATCGACATTATACAATTATAGACTGGAGGTCAATACCTGGACCCACGAAAAGCAATATTGACCGAGGTCCATAAAAACAGGTATTGACCGATTTCGCCAGTCTATAATTGTTTTATTATGTAATTACCGAAAAAAAGCTTCAAAAATCCAAAACATGTCCATTTAGTCAAGAAAAGTAATTTTATTTTCACTACAAACCAATAACGTTATGTCAACAATACTGTGACATGTAAACAATAAAATGACGTCATAGCTTGAAGTCATAGTAACTCAGGTCAATATGACTTTTGGTCGGACCTGGGTTGGAGTCAATATGCTTTTCTGTCGAAGGTCACGCGACCGCCTCTAGACCAACCAGGTAGCCGGGAAAATATGCATAATAAACGTCTATGTTTGCTTTATAATCCTAGCATAATTAATGTTGTATTATATTTTATGCACTTTGGATCTTCATTAAAAAGTTACGATCTGTTTTATATTTCTATTTCCATGATTTCTCTGAGAGCCATTATTAGAAGTTGGAGAGTCAGATAAGGACAAACGTTATGGGTGAACAACTTCCATATTCATGTGATGCGACGTTTCGATACAAATGGTTTGATTCCCCACATGTGTACAATTTGTGAATCCCATTTCTGGTGTCCCCCGCCGTGATATTGCCGGAATATTGCTAAAAACGGCGTAAAACCATATTCAGTCAGTCAGTCAGTCCATACAAATTCCTGTATCGTTGTCAAGCAGGTATGACTTAGGTTTTTTCGATGCGATTCAATTCCTTTATTACCTTTATCTGTACAGACAATTGATATGTCAAATACCTGTATTTGTACAGGTTGGGTTTTTTTTTTAAAAAGATGGTGACAATGGAAATTTATAGGAGGATGTACAATTACTAAGTACTAATTAACTCGTTTCTTAATATACTAGCCTTATATAAATATTTGCCTTACTTACATAATACTCTAAGTTAATACTACACTGGCCCCAAAAAGAAACGCATAGCTGAATTCTGATCTTCGAAGTAGATTGTTTCGAAAAATATGGCATGGAAAAACTGTCAATGTTAATATTAAGTGTGAATATAGCCCATACAATTATCCAACACACGCAAACACAACCTTTGGTGATTATTCGCCAAAACACAGCACTTTGAAAAAATCCCCGTAAAATCTGTATGTAAAAAAATCTGAAAGCATGATGCACGTGCAAATACGGGATCTGAATCTTGATACTGATGGGTATAAAAAGCCAGCAGTCCTGTTGCGATTCATTCTCCGAAATTCTGTATATGTGACCCTCAAGATGCCACGACTAAACGAAGAAAGCAGAAACAGAGCCATTGGACACTTGGAAGCTGGAGAAAGCCAGTCATCAGTTACCAGACATCTAAACGTGAGGCAGAGTACGATTTCCCGTCTCTGGCAGCGCTACACGCAGCACAACTTGACCAGAGATCGTCCTAGGAGTGGGAGACCAAGGGTGACAACTCCAGCGCAAGACCGCTTCATCCGGGTGTTTCATCTGCGAAATCGGACCGTCACTGCAGCGTACACCGCCGACAATGTTCCTGGGCTGCGTCGAGTCTCTGCACAAACCATCAGGAATCGCCTAAGAGAGCATGGAATCCGACCGATGCGACCACATACAGGACCTGTTCTGCGACACCACCATCGTCGTGCACGTCTCCAATGGAGCAGGAACGTTCGACCATGGACCCTCTTGAACTGGAGGAGGATCTGCTGTATCGACATGATGGCAGGATGCGGATTTACAGACGTCGAAATGAAAGATATGCTCGACAGTGTGTTCGTGAGGTCGACAGACACGGCGGCGAAGGTGTAATGATGTGGGCAGGCAAATCTGTGAATGACAGAACCGAGCTGGTGCATGTCCAAGGGAATTTGAATCCTGTGCGCTATCGTGATGAAATCCTGGTACGTCATGTTATTCCCCTAATTGACGCTAGAAGAGAAATTTTCCAGCATGACAAGGCAAGACCGCATACAGCACGCATTACAACAGATTTCCTTGCCATCAACAACATTACAGTTCTTCCATGGCCTTCAAAATGTCCGGATCTTAACCCAATTGAACATTTGTGGGACCAATTGGATCAACGTGTACGACGCCGACAGCCGCAACCACAGACACGTCAACAGCTTGTCGATGCGTTGCAGGATGAGTGGAGAAGAATCCCACAACGGCGGATCCGACGTCTTATACAGTCTATGCCCAGGCGATGCAGAGCAGTGATTGAGGCTCGTGGTGGTCACACCAGATACTGACTTTGTGACCGTGCCATCAAAAACAGAGACTCTCAATACCACTGTGAATGACTGTTTGTTTTGGGATACACATGTCCCAATACCTGTGTGAATTTTTATTGCTCTATTATCATTACTTTTTGTGTAATTTAAGTTATTAAAGCATCACTGATAACACTGGATTTTCACTTATGCGTTTCTTTTTTGGGTCAGTGTAGAAGTTGAATAGGCTTAAACATTGATGGACATTTGCAATATTATGGTTTGATATACATTATTCTATGATTATAATATGATGGACATTTCAGCTCATCTTCAATATCATCTTTACACATTAAACATTTACAATTAGCAAAATTTATGTTTTGATATCTTCCAGTTTCTAACGCTATGTTATGGGAGCTGAGTCTGAATTACTTCCTATAGAAATATGGAATCGATTTACGTAAATAATATTGGAGCGAACATTGATTGATAACATTTTTTACTTTACCTATTTCGAGGAGTTGGACAACAGTACTGACTAAAAATAAAGTGTACAGCCTGATCATTAATCCTTTGGTTAATAACTGATAAATATTCTGTTCATAACACCTCAACGATATTTCACTGAAACCAATGCTTGACAAAATACATTTCATCTGATACGCCCAATTCTTCACACCACGGGTCACCACAATACTCATAACAACACAGTAAAATACTATTGTCAAATACAAGAAGCTTACACCAATATTTACATGTTGATTTCTTAACCCCTATAACAACCTTTTACAAACATTCAAATGTAACCTTTCAACATTCAATCCCCTTATTATGCCCCCATATCTCAGACGGATAAGATAATACACTGCCGACATAACAATCAAAGATAAATAAAAGAGATTCCTGATAAAGAGAGAGCGACCTCATATTACTGTAAATGGAAAAAAAGGGCCTTTTTACCCTGATCAGACAACTGCATCTGAGCCTTTGAAAATCAAATCTGTTATTATAATTAAAGACTATTCTTAAGTAAGTAACCGTATGAACAACCTCTAGGACACTGCCATTTTAACACCAATGTTCTGAAGAATTAACTTTACCACCTCTTCTAAAAACCATTATCTTTGGTTTAGCAATGTTCACTTTAAGTTCCCAGCGATTTGAATAAGCCAACAACGAAGTTGATTGTGTGTGCATCCCTTCTACGGATTCAAAAAATGTGACAAGATCATCAGCGTTCATAAGCAAAAATATATTTAAAGATTTAAACTCGTATGAAATACATTTATCTTTTAGGAAAGATTCCTCAAAATCAGTTACATAAAAAGAAAACAAAATTGCCGACAATACCTCTCCCTGCATTAGGCCTAAACTATTCTGAAATACTGACTATCATACACATGACCTTACATTAAGATACAACGAATGAATAACAGACAATAGCTTCCCTCTAACACCTCATTTTGCTAACTTATACCATAATTTATACCTATCCATTGAATCAAAAGCACGTTTAAAATCCACAAATGCGCAATATAACCGTTTATTGTTATTCAGAGAACGACTAATCAATGAATGGAGCGAAAATATAGCATCGACTGTACCAAGATTAGGACGAAAACCAAACTGAGCATCCGAAATAGTTTTATGTTCCTCTGTCCAGTCAAGAAGCCTCTGGTTTAAAATCCTGGTCAACAACTTTCCAAAACAACTAATAAGACTTATTCCTCTATAATTGCTGGGAACACTAGCATCACCTTTCTTGAAAACAGGTATAATAACGGCTGAAGCCCAACCTTTTGTGGGGAAACCTGTGCATATGACACAATTAAATATTTTATGTAACATGAGTAGTAGATATAAATCAAATTCCATAAAATACTCATTTATGATGCAATCAAGTCCATGAGATTTATAACGTTTCAGACAGTTTATTGCTTGCTTTATTTCAGGCAGTGTTATTTCATGATCAAGTTCAGGTACCACTGAGTCAATCAACGTATGCACGTTAGTAAATCTAGGCAGATAAACACTACCTTTTGACAAACCCTCTGGTCAAGATAAAAGTAATTAATCAGCATGTTATCAGTTACAGTCCGTTTGATTTCATTTGAGACTGATGAATGGTTCACTAACGCAAACTCTAATAATTGCAACAACATCAAGTTTTGCAGTCACATGAAATCGACAGACCAACTCT